TATCCCCTTTCTTGTATATCGGAACTTCATTAGCTGCTTTGCAAATTTCTGGCAGTTCCCCTGTTTCCAGTGATTTGTTATACACTATGGAGAGTGGCAGGCACTATCACACCTGGAGAGTGGCAGGTGTGTGTGTATCAAACCTCCCAAGAAATTGCTTGAGAATTTGTTGCTTTTCACAGTCAATCAGTTTATGAATAATATATCTGCCAACCTGTGAGCCATCTACATTTGATCTAAGAACTGTTATTCATCAATCTGAGAACTCTCCATTATCGGCCTCTGAACACTCTATCATCACTCTATGGACTATTTACCATCAATATGTTAACCATACTTAATGTAACCTGAATCATCAACTCTATCAATCAGTACAACCCGTACGAACAATACCATTTCCCTTGTTGTCCTGTCACTATACGAAGTATACTAAATACTCAATCTTACTGTCACTATATAACTCATACATTTTCCACAGTCTCCCTGTCACTATACAAGTCATATTATTTTCACTGTCACTATACGAACCACAATATTCCCACTGTCGACCTGCCCCACTATAAGAACAAAACCGTCCCCACTGTCGACTAGCCACTGTACAAACCCCACAATATCCACTATATGAACCATTTCATTTCCCCTGTCGATATCTAACCCTCTTCACCCCATGTTCTTACAGCGACGGAACGGTCTATTTACCTCGGGGCGTCGTACCATGGCAAAGGAGAAGGCTGGCGGTGGCTTTCCGGGAAGCCCGTGGAAGCCGACACCTTCAGGGAGCCGCTGGGCTCTGTGGACACCGACGATAACAACATCACCATGAACATGGTGGCGGTGAAGAAGGTGGACATCTGCATGGTGGTGTGTCCGGAGGGCTGCGTGGCTGTGCACTCGGCCGCCGCTGCTCGGGACTGCAGCAAGAGGAGCGGCTTCATTTGCGAATACACGCACCCGAAACATTAGCAGCAGTGTATGTATCGTACGCAAAGCGCCACAGATGTCGTAGGCAGGGCACCAGAAGCAGCACAGACGTCATAAGTAATTGAAAAGGCATCATTATACAGCGAAAGTAGCATAGATATCGTACGTAACACCAGCTGCATAGAAGTCGTATGTAACACCAGCAATGAAGACGTACGTAGCACTTACAGCACATGCAACAACACAGACATCACAAGTAACACCAAACACAAAAATGTCATCTTAAGTGTCATTTAAGGATGTAATCTGCACATGAAATGCATCAAATCTGGAAGTATCAGGAATCTGAAAGTATGTCTACTACCTGTTGTTTTTTGTTCATATTAAAAATATCAAACAAAATCAAGACGATTTATGAAGCAGCATCGAACATTTCCCCGAAACATGTTCATCTTCAAGTAGATGGTGATAAATCGTTGCATTATTTAATTTTTAACAATTTCTGTGAATTTACCGGTTATGAAAATTAGGAAAATTGGACGATAGCTGCAAAATACAGACTTCCCATTTTATCAACAAGTGTGATGCCGACAAATTTCTCCTCCTGTGGAACTCTTCCTTATTACTGTAACTGTAAATTATTTACTGTACCTGTAAATTATTAACTGTACCTGTAAATTATTACTGTAACTCTTACTTATTAAAAAGTTTTATCAAGGTTTCTTTATATCATTTTTATTTCCTTTAATATTTTTTGTATATATAATTTAACAGATATGTTCAATTTGTTTTTTCTTATTTAGTGCTAAATTTATAATGGTTCACGTTCTCGATTCACACTCTAGAATCCCGGGTTCGATATCATTAGCAGAAATGTATATAGGTATTTCATTCGCAGTGACAGAAATAACACTGAAACGAATGTCTGATGATAATCTTACTGATCCAACAAGTTCAGAAAGACCTGAAAGTTGTAGCAACATTATGATGAATGCCGTGAGGAAACATTTATATATGGAACTAACAGAGCAAGAACACAGCAATGTGATGTTATAGTGGCCAGAATATGCCTGGGATATAGACGTATATGGCAGCTCTCTCAAAACCCAAATGTTTAATACACCAAGTGTCAACTTTGTGAGTGTCAAATACACCACGTGTCAACTTTGTAAGTGTCGGACACACCAAGTGTCAACTTTGTGAGTGTCAACGTCTACCCACGCAACTCATGGTAGAAACCGTATCTACCCCCCCCCACAACACATGATAGAAGCCGTATCTACCCCCTCACAACACATGGTAGAAACCGTATCTACCCCCACAACAGATGATAGAAGCTGTTTCTACCCCCTCACAACACATGGTAGAAACCGTATCTACTCCCCACACAACACATGGTAGAAACCGTATCTACTCCCCACACAACACATGGTAGAAGCCGTATCTACCCCCACAGAAGACATGGTAGTAGCCCCCTACATCTAGGATCTGCAGCCCTCACACATCACCTCACGGGGGAGATGCCTCGCCTCTCCTCCAATGGGACGGGCCGTCAGGGAAGACCCATTGGAGGAGACAGCGAGAGCAGTGGTCCCAGGGAGGACACTGGGAGCTCTCAATGAAGGAAGTAAATAAAGAGCAACGCAGAGTAAACAAAGCAGACAGGTGCATTAGTGTCTCGGTGCAGCCAGGCCCGGGAGGTGGGGGGTGAGAGAGTGGTTTGGGGGATGGAGAACAGCTTTAAAAAGGACTAGGATGGGGGGGGAAGGGGAAGAAAGGGTGCTTGAAAAGGGGGAATGAGAGGCTTTATCGAAGGAAAGGAAGGGAGACCACCGGGAATAGGGGTATGTAGGGAAGGGAGGGTTTTAGGAAGTAGGGAAAGGGTGGCGGGAAGGGAAGGAGGGAAACTAGGGAGGGAAGAGTGGGTTGAGCGGCGTAACGCAGCAAGAAGTGACAAGCGGAAGGTTGCTCATGTGTGTTGAGCAGTAGTGTTGGTGGAGGGACGTTCGCCATCATTACGACTCCTCCAGTTTAGTGGTGGTGGTGGAGGAGGAGGCCGCCAGAGTACTTCCACCAGTGGTCCTCAGGAGTCAGGCGGCTGTTGTGGGTAGCATCATGGGGAGGGGCAGTGCTGGCCTTGGCCTAAATTAATGCCATGTTAAACCTACCTGACATCTGTCCCTGACAACACAACACCTTATGGAGTTTTTGTGATGTTTGGAGGACCTTCTGCTGTTTGGAGAATATTCTGCTGTTTGGAGAATATTCTGATGTTTGGAGAATACTCTGATGTTTGGAGAATACTCTGATGTTTGGAGAATACTCTGATGTTTGGAGGACCTTCTGCTGTTTGGAGAATACTCTGATGTTTGGAGAATACTCTGATGTTTGGAGGACCTTCTGCTGTTTGGAGAATACTCTGATGTTTGGAGAATACTCTGATGTTTGGAGGACCTTCTGCTGTTTGGAGAATACTCTGATGTTTGGAGAATACTCTGATGTTTGGAGAATACTCTGATGTTTGGAGAATACTCTGATGTTTGGAGAATACTCTGATGTTTGGAGAATACTCTGATGTTTGGAGGACCTTCTGCTGTTTGGAGAATATTCTGATGTTTGGAGAATACTCTGATGTTTGGAGAATACTCTGATGTTTGGAGAATATTCTGATGTTTTGAGAATACTCTGATGTTTGGAGGACCTTCTGATGTTTAGAGAATACTCTGATGTTTGGAGAATACTCTGATGTTTGGAGGACCTTCTGATGTTTAGAGAATACTCTGATGTTTGGAGAATACTCTGATGTTTGGAGTGTGTTCTGATGTTTACATAGTGTATTTAGAAATTTGAAGTGTATTTACACGCTTCGAGTGTTTGCGTATTACTTGGATTCGAATCGCAGGCATCATTCTGATCCACCTCCAAATATGACTGGAGGTCCACCTCCAAATATGACTACAGGTCCACCTCCAAATATGACTGCAGGTCATGCAATATAATATATAAATTTGATGAACAATGATTTATTATTCTGTCATCACTGCTAATAAAGTAAATATCAACACTTTCACTCGGTACTTTATTACACTGAAATTTAAAACGCAATTAACTGTTTAAATTAAATTTATCAAAAAAGATTTACAGCAGGTAATTAAACGAAACTAATGACGTTGGGGAAGTAGCATTTAGCGAAGCTGTTTGACGTTTAGTTTGGGATTAGTTAAACGTTTCGCAGTGATTATGCCTCTGAGGCATTTGTGCCTCCAGACGCTTGGTAGTAACTAGGTGGTTATCTTCTTGAGGTTATCTTGAGATGATTTCGGGGCTTGTTTTTAGTGTCCCCGCGGCCCGGTCCTCGACCAGGCCTCCACCCCCAGGAAGCAGCCCGTGACAGCTGACTAACACCCAGGTACCTATTTTACTGCTAGGTAACAGGGGCATAGGGTGAAAGAAGCTCTACCCATTGTTTCTCGCCGGCGCCCGGGATCGATCCCAGGACCACAGGATCACAAGCCCAGTGTGCTGTCCGCTCGGCCGACCGGCTCCAATTTGGGGGATCAGGTGAACTGATCCCCCAAAACGTTTGGTAGTAACTAAGTGATCAGGAGATGCTGAGGTAGGATGTCTTTGTGGCCGTGTTCACAGTTCCAGTAATGGCCTAACCATAGCCCCGCTCCCTCACTGCCAAATGGCTGCGTGTTGGCTCGGTTGTTGCCCAGGAAAAAAGGCCTCACTTGGTTAAGGAGAATGGGGGGGTGGGTTGGTTGGTGGGGGGGAGGGTATTGTGGTAGATTGGGCCGGGGGGGGGGAAGATTATAAGGACTGAAAGGGTGGGGAGCAGGAATCTACATGAGAAAATAGTGAGGTATTGTTATGGGTTCGAACCGCATCCCATGACACCTCCGGGCCCCCGCACAAACGACTGCTCCACGACCAGATAAACAGTGTCTCAACGATATAAGTACTCTGAGGTACTCTGAGGTACTTGCCAGAGGACTCCAGGGAGGCCAGTGTAATCCTACTTTACTGCCTCAACATTTACTTATAGATCACTTTCTTAAACGAACTCTTAAGTCGAGATGACTCTAGTGTCCAGTGTGCAATGTCCAGTGTCCAGTTCCCAGTGTCCAGAGTCAAGTGTCCAGTGTCCAGAGTCAAGTGTCGAGTGTCCAGAGTCAAGTGTCCAGTGTCCAGAGTCAAGTGTCCAGTGTCCAGAGTCAAGTGTCGAGTGTCCAGAGTCAAGTGTCCAGTGTCCAGAGTCAAGTGTCGAGTGTCCAGAGTCAAGTGTCCAGTGTCCAGAGTCAAGTGTCGAGTGTCCAGAGTCAAGTGTCCAGTGTCCAGAGTCAAGTGTCCAGTGTCCAGAGTCAAGTGTCGAGTGTCCAGAGTCAAGTGTCCAGTGTCCAGAGTCAAGTGTCGAGTGTCCAGAGTCAAGTGTCCAGTGTCCAGAGTCAAGTGTCCAGTGTCCAGTGTCCAGTTCCCAGTGTCCAGAGTCAAGTGTCCAGTGTCCAGAGTCAAGTGTCGAGTGTCCAGAGTCAAGTGTCCAGTGTCCAGAGTCAAGTGTCCAGTGTCCAGAGTCAAGTGTCGAGTGTCCAGAGTCAAGTGTCCAGTGTCCAGAGTCAAGTGTCGAGTGTCCAGAGTCAAGTGTCCAGTGTCCAGAGTCAAGTGTCCAGTGTCCAGAGTCAAGTGTCCAGTGTTCAGAGTCAAGTGTCCAGAGTCCAGTGTCCAGAGTCCAGTGTTCAGAGTCCAGTGTTCAGAGTCCAGTGCCCAGAGTCCAGTTTCCAGTGTCCAGTGTCTCTCTGGGTGGGATGTAATTATACACCCCCCCCCTAATACTGTGACGTGACCCGAGGCTACCTTAAACACCCCCCCCCTAATACTGTGACGTGCCCCGAGGCTACCTTAAACACCCCCCCCCTAATACTGTGACGTGCCCCGAGGCTACCTTATACACCCCCCCTAATACTGTGACGTGACCCGAGGCTACCTTAACACCCCCCCCCTAATACTGTGACGTGCCCCGAGGCTACCTTATACACCCCTTCCACCCCTGATACTGTGACGTGACCCGAGGCTACCTTATACACCCCTTCCACCCCTGATACTGTGACGTGACCCGAGGCTACCTTATACACCCCCACCCCTGATACTGTGACGTGACCCGAGGCTACCTTATACACCCCTTCCACCCCTGATACTGTGACGTGACCCGAGGCTACCTTATACACCCCCACCCCTGATACTGTGACGTGACCCGAGGCTACCTTGTACACCCCTTCCACCCCTGATACTGTGACGTGCCCCGAGGCTACCTTATACACCCCTTCCACCCCTGATACTGTGACGTGACCTTATCCGCCTCAGGCGAACAAATTACTAGTGGGCTACACATTGGTTTCCGATAGCTGGTGGGCCGCGGGTCTGTGCTCCTCCTGTGATGAGTAGCGTCGTTACCCGTGGCCTGGGTGGCTCAGGGCGTGCGTACTCATCTATTTTGATTCACCTCTTTGTGTCTGCAAGATCGGACTTTAGCTCTTGGGCCCCGCTGTTGTATCCGCCTGTTGTTTAAAGCAATGACTCCTGATCTTTGTTTCCTCCGTTATATCTACTTTTAAATTAACGAATGGAGTTTGCTTCTACAACCCGCTGCTTTACCTCATTCCATTTTCCACTGTTCTTACGCTAAATGAAAACCCGACATATCTCTTTGACTCACCTAGTTCTATTATACATTTTCTCTTTTTTCCACACTGTCAGTCCCCTTAAGTATTTTATAAGTCTCTATCATGTCCACCCATCTCTGGGGTGGACATGATACCTTAAGTGTTTCTTGAGGTGGGGCGGCATACTCTAAGACTGATCTTACATATGTGGCGTACAGCGATATAAAGACATTTTTATTTACGTTTCTGAATGAAGTTCTGACGTTTTCTAGCGTAAAGTTCGCTACTGACAACCCATCATCCAGAAATGTTACTTATAACAAGAATGTGGACGAAACTACATATATGTCGTGATAGACCACCAGAAAGTTATATTATATATATATATATATATATATATATATATATATATATATATATATATATATATATATATATATATATATATATATATATATATATATATGTATGTATATGTCGTACCTAGTAGCCAGAACGCACTTCTCAGCTTACTATGCAAGGCTGAGAAGTCAATCAACACCTGTTGATTGACGGTTGAGAGGCGGGACCAAAGGGCCAGAGCTCAACCCCCACAAGCACAATTCGGTGAGTACACACAGTTGACACCTTGGGACTGACCGTTCTACCCTTCTTCTCTCCTTAAACACACACACAACCCAGCTCCTCCTGGGTGGAAGTTGTTGACAAGATATGGGACAAGGGCCCTAGTGACTATCAATACCCCCTCTCCACCCACCCCCTCACACTCTCCAGACACCCCTCCACTCTCTCTCTCTCTCTCTCGTCTCTCTCTCTCTCTCCTCTCTCATCTCTCCTCTCTCTCTCTCTCTCCTCTCTCTCTCTCTCTCTCTCTCTCTCTCTCTCTCTCTCTCTCTCTCTCTCTCTCTCTCTCTCTCTCTCTCTCTCTCTCTCTCTCTCTCTCTCTCTCTCTCTCTCTCTCTCTCTCTCCTCTCTCTCTCTCTCTCTCCTCTCTCTCTCCTCTCTCTCTCTTCTCTCTCTCTCTCTCCTCTCTCTTCTTTCTCTCTCCTCCTTCTCTCTCTCTCTCTCTCTCTCCTCTCTCTCTCTCTCTCTCTCTCTCTCTCTCTCTCTCTCACACAGGTAAAAAAACATGGCAGAGAGACAAACTCGGAGAGACACATGCAGAAGGACAAACATGGCAGGAACAAACTCAGAGGAAGGGGAAGGACAGGAAGCCTGGATTAGGGATACTGGATGAGGGATTACCTGGATGAGGGTAATGAGGGAGACAGTAACCAGCCTGAAGGATGAGCTGAAGGCAGCAAAGCCTCTTCTCAGGAAGCAGCTAGATGTACTAGCTGGCTGATAGAGAGAAAAAGGGCAGTAGTAGTAGCAGCAGGCATTAAGAAGCAAACAGGGACCAGCTCAGCGGTGAGGAGAGACAAGGACAAAAACGCAGTTACTGAGATCCTTAAAGAGGTTAGGATGGAGAGGGCTGACCAGAAAATCAAAACGGTTTTCAGGCTTGGGCAGTACAAGGACAGAGACCGATTGATAAATGTGGTATTCATGAGCAAGAACACAAAAGAGGACCTGTTAACAAAAAAGAGCCAACTAGCAAATGTACCGTAGTTAAGAAAAGTATTCCTGCAGAGGGATATGACAAGGGACGAGAGAATGATGGCAGCAGATGCAAGAAGGGAGTGCAGGGAGAAAGAAAGGAGTCAGGGAACCACAACCCCAAACCCTATAATCCCAGAGGGGAGTGGGAAACCCTCCACAAGAAGTTCAACAGCCACAGGGAGAGGAGCACCACCCCCCCCTTCCACCCAATAGACATCCTACCTTCCCCAACCCCTGCCAGCCCCCCATTAAGTGCCCATCTATGGCATCCTACCCCCACTAACCCCCCAGGACTTCCCTTCTCCCCCAACCCTGGAAGCTCTCCCTTCTCCTCCATGCCCTCCCATCTACCCAACCCCCAAGCCCACCCTTCTCCCCCCACTCCCCTAAGCCCTCCCTTCTCCTCACCCCCTCAGCTCTCCCTTCCCCCCACCCCCTCAAGCCCTCCCTCCACTTCTGCTCCCCCTTCCCCCTCGTCCTACAAGCCTCTCACCCTCCCTCCATGCCATCTCTTCTCCCCCACCTCCCCAAGCCCTCCCTCCTCCACCACCGTCCCCATACCACAGCCTCCCAGCCCCCGCACACCCCAGATCCCCCAGGTCACCCTTCCTAGGCCCTCCCATCCCGGACCCTCCTTGTTTCCCTGCTTCAGGGGAATCAACAGAAACTGAGGAAGGACAGAAGAGAGTAAGTTTCAGGGGGATGAACTTGAGCATAGATGGGATTATAAGCAAGGCGAGTGAACTTAGGGAAAGAGCACAAGAAGTGAACCCAGATGTTATCGGACTCACAGAAACAAAACTCTCGGGAATCAAAACGAATGAGATGTTTCTTCAGGACTACACAATAATGAAGAAAGAGAGGGAAGGTAGGGGAGGAGGCGGAGTGGCTCTACTAATGAGAAAGGAATGGCGTTTCAAGGAGATGGCTATCCCGGGCTGCGAGGGATTCAGAGACTACATAACAGGTACCATGACAATGGGAGGACCAAGAGTAGTAGTAGCAGGGATATATAATCCCCCACTCAATGACAAAAGACCCAGGTAAGAGTATGACAACAACAACATGGCAGTTAACACTTTTTTTCTGGATTTTTTTTGGAATCACTTTAAATTCTTTTCTGAAATTCAGAAAACAAAAAGCTGGCATTCCGAAAGGGAAACTATGAGGAGATAAGGAAATTCCTAACAGATATAACATGGGAAACAGAGCTCAGAGGAAAGACATTGTGGACTACATCGCAAAGAAGTGTAAGGAAGCAGCAGACAAGTTTGTCCTGGTCCAAAAGGAAAACAACGAAATGCAGATGACAAGCCAATGGCTTAATCAGAGACGTAGGCTAGCTAGGCAGCAAAGTAAAAGGGCGTGGATAAACTATAGAAATAGCAGGACACTTGAGAGCAGAGAAAGATACCAGAGAGCCAGGAATGAATATGTCTGGTTGAGAAGAGAGGCAGAAGGGCAATACGAAAATGACATTGCAAGCAAGGCAAAGACTCAACCTAAATTGCTGCACAGCCACATCAGGAGAAAAACAACAGCAAAGGAACAGGTAATGAATTTGAGGATAAGGGCAGACAGATTCACTACAAATGACAAGGAAGTGCGCGAGGAGCTGAATAAGAAATTCCAGGAGGTATTCACATTAGAGCAAGGGGAAGTTCCAGAGATAAGAGAGGGAATAATTAACCAAGAACCACTAGAAGAGTTTGAGATTACCAACGGGGAAGTAAGAAAGCTCTTCTTAGAGCTGGATGTGACAAAGGTTATAGGCCCAGATGGAATCTCCCCATGGATAAAGGAAGGAGCAGAAGCACTGTGCCTGCCACTCTCCATAGTGTATAACAAATCACTGGTAACAGGGGAATTGCCAAACATTTGGAAGACTGCTAATGTAGTCCCTATATACAAGAAGGGGGGGGGGGATAGATAGGAAGCACTGAACTACAGGCCAGTGTCCCTAACTTCCATACCATGCAAGGTGATGGAGAAGATTGTGCGAAAAAAGCTTGTGGAACATATGGAGCGAAAGAACTTTGTATCACAGCATTAACATGGGTTCAGGAATGGCAAGTCCTGTCTTCACACGATTAATTGAATTCTACGACCAGGCAACAAAAATCAGGCAAGAAAAGAGAAGGTTGGGCAGACTGCATATTTTTGGATTGCCAGAAAGCCTTTGACACAGTACCACACAAGAGGCTAGTGAAAAAGCTGGAGATGCAGGCAGGAGTGAAAGGGAAGGTACTCCATTGGATAAGGGAGTACCTAAGTAACAGAAGACAGCGAATCACTGTGAGGGGTGAGGCCTCAGATTGGCGAGACGTCACCAGTGGAGTCCCGCAGGATTCAGTCCTTGGACCAATACTGTTTTTGATATATGTAAATGATCTCCCAGAGGGTATAGAATCGTTCCTCTCCTTGTTTGCTTATGGTACAAAAATTAGAAGGAGGATTAAAACAGAGGATGATAGTACGAGGCTACAAGATGACCTAGACAGACTGAATAAATGGTCCAACAAATGGCTACTAAAGTTCAACCCGAGTAA